TACGAAAGGAAGGTACTGGCAAGATGATCGGGGGTGGGTTCGTGCAGAGTAGATAAAAAAAGCCAAGCAGTCCGTCTACGCGAACCACGCACGACCTGGTCCAGTGCATTGGCCGGGCTTCTTTAAGTGCGACCCAGATCTCACATCAATGAGGGGCATGCAAATCGTACTACAGTCTGGCCCTCAGTCCAAAAAAGGACCTAATTATCCCATCGGTTGGCAGTCTTTCGAGGCAAGACTCTCAGCATATCGTGATAGATTGAAGAGTGTCATATTTTAGTGGTATTAAGGGATAGCTGGTGTGGCGTGAAGGTAGACTTTTAAGTGTCATTCTCACTCTTTTCCCTCTCCACACGACTGCCTGAGCATGTCAGCCAGTTTGTGGTGGGATTGGGTGCAGTATATGATACGACGTGAAAGCCCGTGCCGAAGGCGTGCTACAGGCCTGTGCGAAAGTAGATATGACCTTGCGCAGACCAATCGCAGGAGTGAGCCAGTCTGATCACCTTCGTGACCCAGCACATTTGGACCGCAGTCCATTGTTGGAGTTAAGACAATTAAGCTTTGATTAGGTTGTAGGAATCGCAACCAGAAAGAGAGGTTAACCACGAAAAACAAAATCGAGTGAGACACTATATGCTTCGGACCTCGTTCTTTGACTCTTCCAGCCTCGTTTGGAACTAAGCAGACCGACAGGTGACCATTTTTGTGACAAATAAGCGTATTGAATGTTGGAAAGCAAGTACTGTGACGAGATATTAGTTAGTATAATAAGGAAATCTGTGTTTGCAGTCGATGGGATATGGCGAGCTAAAGGATGATACTTGCTGGAAAATCCTTGCATATTATATCGCATATATGATTGCGTTTTAGAATAAAGCGATATAGGGATTAAGGCATTCGAAGTAGGGAAGCAAATATGAGAAGGATGCTTACTCGGCCCCTATCTTTCCGCTGACAATTTGCACGCTTTCTCTGACGTGCATAGGCCTGCATACGTCTAACACGTTGGTAAGAGGACTGGGATCCGTAAAGTACTGGAAACGGGGATAAATTTGAAGAGTAAAGGCGGTGACTTACAGCCAAGTTCTTTCGCTAGGCGATAATTGGACGGTTTTACTGTGGACACTAAGTCCAAGTATTCTCGCGCGTCCTGAGTTTCCAGATCTCGATTAAAGACTGCCGGGATTGTCAAATGGTTGTGCTCCTGACAGGCTGAGGTTACGATAAGTCGTCCCTGCTTCAGATTCACATTTATACGGGCTTTGCATCCAGAATGGCGCGTCCTACAGGGGAAAGGGGACATTTGAGGTACGGATTACAGCAGCCTACTCCGTAAACGTTCTTCGCTGTGGTTTCAGCTCATATGTGTGGCCATGAGTGCACCCCAGGGTAACACTTCGATATTTTACCGTTCCGGCCAGTTCATGGTCTTCTTTGAGTAGGCGACAGAGACGGATCACAAAACGACTACCTGTCAGGTTTTCGAACTGTCTGACTGATTCTTGAAGTGACTCAAAAGAATCGAAATTTCGCCCCTGGAAGTGCTCTTGAAAGAGTTCTGTGTGATCAGCAACTGTAAAAGGGCCGTGATGTTGATAAAGAAGGGGGACAGAGAATGTGCAAACCTATGGGTTGGGTTTCTTCTGCAGCAATTTGAACCGGGTGTTTGTGCAGCATGTTGCTGTGAATAACGCGCAAGTAGCATCCCTTGGCAGAAACTTTAAAGGAGGAAGGACAGTCGGTGACTGTACACTTAAGCGTAAAGTGTCTGTACACGAGCGTACTCCTTCTAGCTGAGTCGGCCTTC